GAAGACGAGTTCGCACAGTAGCCCAAAAGCTCTCATTACGATCGCCATTGGAGTGAAGCGGTCTAGATTGTCCATGGCCACTTGATATGGCGTCAAAATGGAGACGTACACGATGCAAACCACCATGAACCGAAGCCACGACAGATGGAAACTGCTCTGCACTTCGGTTCCCTCCACAAGACAATAGAATGGCGTCACAACGAATCGATTTAACAACTCGAGAACGACTCGACGTGTATCCGTCACGAAGCCACCACTGCCACTCCCCCCGTGCTGCAAACGCACGTGCTGAAGTTCGTCCTTGATGCGGTCGGCTCGCTCGTTCATAATGTCTGCCCGAGATAACATTAAACCAGTAGTGGCATCCGTTCCTCGACGCTGCTCCTCTCGAGAAAGCTGCAAAAGTCTGTTTTGTTCGCGATGGATATTCACAATTCTCGTGACTTTGTCCTTCCACTCCGGGTATCGATCAAACACGAGCTCCAACGATTCGCGAGAGAGTTTATACAGAATACAAGACGTCTGGGCTTGAATATAGTCATCACGTCTGCCATTGGTGAAGAGTCCGTTTTCTCCAAAGTAGCTGCCAGCCGAGATCTCGTTCACTTTCTTCAGTTGTTCAGTAGTATTAATCCTGCTACTTTTCTGAACTGCAGCTCGAGAAGTCTGACGAACTCCAAGACGCCACAACTTTGCCGGTGCTCCACTTTGCACCTTATCAGACCCTTTCTTCTGCATGGTCACATCTGTTTTTGTGGCTGTGGCAATCGCGTGCAGAGGTAGCAGGACGTCTAAGACTCCCGTGAAAACAAAATACATATCGCTGCTCTTGGATCCCAGTGTACAGACGAATTCTCCACGAGACACTAGCACTTGTGTGAATTGAGAGACCAGCATTCGAGTGACAGATCCCTCCATGCCACTTAGAAATTCCACTCGCTCAATCATACGCTTCAGATGAACAAGACGGATGTCCGTAAGTAACGACGGTGGCAGGCAATGAACAAGAAGGTGTTCCTGCGTGATTGTATGGAAACGTTTGAACAGGACGAAAGTTTTCAGCCGTTCTTGAAGAGCGTCAGGGAGTTGGAAATGGTTGAGCATCTGCCGAACAGCCCCCATCTTGGCGTTGAATTCCCTGGTTTCCGAGGTCGTGAGCTCGATGATATCTGTGAATTTACCGATCACGTAGGCGAAGAGAAAGAAGCCCGTCGTCATGGTTATAGCACTGAAGATACACTGCGCTGTGGTTTTCGGGAACTCGGGCTCGCTTGACGCTGACATGAGTCCAAATGACCAGTAGAGTGAAGCCATATATTGTAAAATATGCGGAGCATGCTCCAAGTGCTTGTGAGGTAGCCAGTGGTTCTCTCCGAACGCAGTTTTCTTAATAATAGGCAGCAATTCGTTCGTGAAATTTG